AGGTTAAGCACGTTCCACAAGGTTTATAGCTTAGATGGGTGACCGCTTTAGGAATATCGTAAATAAGTTTCTAAAAATGTATTTTTTAATCACAATTTTGTTATGTATATTTTTTTATTCTCTAGTATATGATGCTAATTAATAAAATTTATTGTATTTAAAACAAATTTATTTTAGCAATTAAATTGAAATGGTCAAGAATACATCAATATTTTTTGCAATTTAACATCATTTTGACAAACTAAAATTTGATTTTATTTTGATATTATTTTGATGTTATTTTGATCTTTCTGTTCTCCTTGGGAAGGATCGGTCGTATTTAAAAAAGCATTATTTAAAATATGTATTTTAAATAAAAAAAAGTAAATGAATTATTTAGAACTTATTATTCTAAATAATTTCTTCTGATTTATTTCTTATTTAATATTTTAAATATATTTTTGAAATCTGTTTTATATTTTTCATTTTAAATAAGTCGTATTAGTTTTTTATTGGTCTCTGCGATCTTTTATTTTAAATAAGTTTCTGGAATCTATTTTATATTTGTTATTTTAAATAAGTTGTATCAGTTATTTTACCGACCCCTGGACGTTACAAATGAGAATTACCTGAGTTTTGGTGTAAATGGAAAGCAACTAATATAAGTGATGAGTTTATAGTACGTCTGACGAAGTAAATGTACATTACAATCAAGATGTTTTGCTGCGTTGCAGTAAATTGCAATAATAAAATAAAAAATTGTAGTAATTATTGATTTCTAACTTTATTGTTAAACAAACTTGGGATTACATTGTCCACTTATCTCGAACCAAGATGGCGGAAATACCTACACTATAGTGTCTTAACTAAAGTTATTCTGGTCAGCGGATTCCTTCTCAATTCGGCGCATAAACCGGTCCTACTTTTTCAGCTATCAAGTCTCCTCTAGATATCATCTAAAGTAGAGATCAGACAACATCTGACTTCCGTTTTCACAACAACGTGGCAGAGCCAATTGGCTTTCCGGGATTACTCTCAACTCCCAGATTCTGAAGAGGCTCTGCCATGTTGTTGTGAAAACGGAAGTCAGACGTTGTCCGATTTCTACCTAGAGGATCTCTAGTCTTCTCTACTCTTACTTTGTGATGAGAATCAGTGATCTCAGATTGCGTGATTTTTAAACGCATACGCCTAACGTTGTACAGTAATGTCCATGCGATTCATAAAAATTTGATATTGTTATACCCCTTACGGAAATAGAATATAGGGAATACGAAAAAATATTTGGAAATATTGATGGATAAATGTTTTTATAAAATAAATAACACAAATTACTGATAAATTATTATGAGTTTATACATATATCTCACACAATGCGGAACTTATTTAAAAGTTAATAGCGGATTTCATTATATGTAAAGACATATTGATGTATCATATTATTTATTACTGAAGAAAGTCTGAGACCAAAAGTACTGTATTCAGAATTTATAGTAACATTGAATAATTTGAATAAAATATTACTTACACATGAAGTTCTGCGTGTTGACTTTTATTGTCTATTTCATTAAATCTTGTTTTTACAAAATAGAAATATCGTAGGGTAATGAGAATTGGCGCGGTAATTAGTGCGTAATGTTTCACAAATGATTAATACAAATTCATAAAACGAATATCAATATATTTCTCCCAACGTTTCGGCCTTTTTTTAGACCATCTTCGGTGATACATGGATTTCAACTGGTGGTCTTTTACGATTATACAAAGGTGGACTTAGTTTCCATAATGCCGAATGTAAGAGCAACGGATCTATTTGTTGTTTAATGTATTTCTAAAAACCATAAGTTGTGTAAGGACTTATATTATAATTGTAATGATAATTTCCCGGAGAAAACTTTTCCGATTTGTCAAAGATGGTAAAGGGGAGAATGAAGATTTGGTTTGATCTAACTGAAATTGAGATATTATTCAAAGACATACCGCTCTTCAAACTTTTTAAATTCAAACTGGCCGTTACAAAAATTTACACACCACGTGGTTAGTCCGCCTTTTCCACATGGTTTACGTCGTTATTATGCGATTCGACGACTTCTGCTCCGAGTTCTTTAGCTATTTAACGAACGCTATAAGCCTACCAATATGTTTTGGTACTCCGGTTCCGGTTCCTGAGCTGCTGACTCCCGATTTCCGACCCTTGCTCCGAATATTGGAGTTGTAACTATACGATGGCGGCGGACAGAAAGACATCTTCAGTGTAGTCAGAAACAGACAATTAGATTTTTCGTCCTACTGTGACTTTTACCTAATTTCTTATGTTCAATTCTTTCTTCCTTATTCCTTTTATTATATCTAAGCCCGTATATTCACAACGCTTTTCAAATTATAATTGTATCTTTATTCTTTATCGAAGTTGAACAAGATCAACGATCATTATGAACGTGAGGTTGATCAAGGCTGGTAACAGAGAATGTTAGCGCTTGCCGCTTATTCATATAGTTGTAGACGTAGAGTAAGGCAGAGGACAGTGTAAACATACATACACACTCACATATGTATATGTATAATCCTTCAACATAAAGAATATACAATGAATATGTTTTTAATATAAAATATACATAATTCATATTTTGTTTGATTCTACTATGTTTCTACAAAGACATTCTTTTTATATGTACCTATATGTATAAATGTATATATATATATATATATATATATATATATATATGTGTATATATATATATATATATATGTGTGTCTA